AAGTTACCCACATTCTGACGCCTCCGTCATAAATTACGCCACGCTCGCGCTCCCGAAGGCAGAATCCCTTGCAAATCATGCCAAACTCGCGCTGTCGAGACCCGAATGCCGCATACATTACACGTGATTTGCCTTCCCGAAGCCTTAATCCTGTTTCCTAAATTACATCAGATTTACGTTCTCGAAGCCGGAATACACTTAAAAGTAAACAGTTCCGCGTCTTCCTTGTAAATTGTACCAGCTTTGCTCAGCCTAGGCCTGAATCCATAGTGCACTGCGCGTGACTAGCGCTCACTGAGCCAGAACCCATCACAAATTGCACTAGGCTCGCCTTTCCGAGGCCATGCTCCTTTGTACATGACGCCACACGCGCGCTCCCGAGGACGGATATCTCGTAAACTTCGCAAGTTTCGCGCGGGAACGCTCCAACAATGCAACAGCGTGGTAAAAAATAGCCCAAACAGCTCAATGTGCGTTGCTGATTCCTGTCCGTCCCCGCCGATGTTCCCAGGTGTCTTCGACACGGCGCCCAAACACCCTGGAACGGATCTGGTAGCTTCCATCTTGATGGGAAGGAGATCAGCGGCAGAGGCCGAGGCCAAATGGATAGCACCTTACCTATTCGCAGTCTTGACAGCAAGAAATGCGGCAAACTACACTTCCGTAGTCTCGACATGGTCGCACTCGCTGGCAAACAGTATGGAAAGTTTCCACCTTCTGCGGACACGCTCAAAATGTTGCCAAAAAGAAAATCAGATATGAAACGAGGCCCCAGAGACAAACCCGAATGGTCGCGAACCCCATCTAAATGGTCCTTATTACATGGTTGTGCTTGTAAGAGAAAATTGGCTACCTACCAGACCACCCCAACCGAACCCGAAGACCCGAATGTCGCTCGCATTTCGGCTTCGGGGGGGGGAATGTACGGGCTTCTTATGTGTTCCTTCAGCGTTCCAGGACCCTCCCCCACTGGAAATGGAAGGCAAAAAAGGGCCTTCGGGTTGGGTCGGAAGGTTTGGTGGGCGGTAAACACAAGGGCTCTCAGCTTCGCGCTTCGCGCTGCGCGAAGCGCGAAGTGCGAATAACTTCGTGCTCTCGCGCCGCCTCCCAGGGGAGAAGAGGAGGAAGAGGAGGAAGAGGAGCCGAACCGCGAAGCGCGAAAGGCGAATAACTTCGCGCCCTCGAAGGCGCCCTTGTAAACGATACGCTCAAGAGAGCCGAACGACCGTGGCGGTGGGAGGCGCCATCTGCCCAACATCGAACCCTTTCTAACACGGCTTCGCAGGCCACGGGAAACCCAGCGCTCCCAACAGTCAACGCTATCATTGAGTCGGGCCTCTCCCTCTAGAGGAGCAATACTCAAAAATAGTAATAAGAAAAAAATGTGGACGATCTGTTCTATTATTTTTGAATATTGTTACATGATGTGCTGAAATTAGTTTGATGTTTCGTCCAGCATCGGCCTGTAGGGGGACATGCCTGACCTAACGCTATCACATGATGACGCAATGCTTGGGAAACCTTGCGCACAGCGACAACGCCGTGGCAGGAAACACCCGATTGGAAAGTGGTCGGCCAAGCTGCCTCTCGATGTGGGTCGCCTTCCATGAGGCTCCAATGCGATTGTAGGGCTTTGCGCTGCCCGGTGAAGATCCTCCTCCGCGCCTGTGGCACAGGGTGCAGTGTCCCCATATCCCCTGCAGCGGACAGCATCGGGCACCGAAGGATCGGAGTTTCCTGGAATGTCTCCTCCACACCCCTGATTCACTGGGCGGGTCAGGACGCTCCTGAGGGCTTTCCGCTTTGACATTTTCCAGATCCTCAGCAGGCAGGCGTCAACATGACACCAGGATCGTGTTTCAATGCCCTCTCAAGGATTCCTTGGGCGGTCCTGGGATCCCTGGAAATCGGCTCAATAGCACAGGAACGTCCCAAACAAGCCCCTGCGTGACTTCGGCACCTATGCCTCCCGTCCAAGACCACCAAAGAGGCTCCAAAGAAGATCGTCAAAACAATGGCCCAGGATGCCGCGCCCCCAACAAGCCCAATAGTGGGCCAGAAGGGGCTCCTGCGTGCCGTGCATCAGAATCACAATCAAAAGGCGTGGCAACACCGCAGGAAATGCGCACGAAAACATTTGACGGACACAAAAACACCAAACAAGCGCACTGCTCGCTGACACAGCTTGAAATACTGATGGACGGCACGGCCATTCGAGGGAGAAGGAGGGAGCGAAACAGGATCAATAATGCCACGCACGCCAGGCACCATCCGCTCCAATGCAAATCGGGTGCAATCGTGCCACCGCTGTCGTGGGCGACGGGCTGCCAAACTAGCGCCCGCGCGTCCGGCATGAACGCTGTAGTTGTTTTGTCCTGCGGCGCTAGCTCGGGGGAAAAAAGTCGGGCTCAAATAACCCACCGGCGCGCAACTAAGCGCGCAACGAAGCTGTCACGAAATCCGGCCCGCAAGTCCAGACGAGAGCAGACGAGGGTGACGAGGAGGAGCGAGGGCCGAAGGGGAAACAGCGACAATCCCCAAAAGCGCAGAAACGACAAAGCGGGAGGACAGGACACGAGAGGGGAGGCGACCGAGCGACGAGACGAGACGAGACGAGGCACAACGCCAATGACAAAGAGCCTCCGCGGCCGGCCCCAGGCGGCGATGCCGATGGCTTCCGGCACAACCGTGAACATTTCACAAAAGAGAGCCCCAACAGATCTTACCGAGCCTCGGATGCATCCTCAGGGAAAGCTGCGAGCTGACAAGGTCCTTCTCTGGGCAGTGCCAACCGAGCCTCCAAAAGATCCTCGGCTGGAGCTGGGAACTGGAGGCGTCGATCGCCGAGCCTGCGCGGAACCTGCCAGGACCCACCGAGCCTCGAGCGCATCCTCAAGTGAAGTTGACCAATGGCAGAGGCAGCCCCCACACCGACGGAGCAAAAAAGCGACCGGGCGCCGCACGCTGTGTCCCGCGAGAATCCTCTTGAGACTGCCGCCGAGAGCAGACGGGAAGCTGTTGGCGCCAAAGCCGAAGACCAGCATCACCCTGACGGTGAAGAGAATGAGTGTCGCTTAACCGATCCCCATCCCCAGCGGCGTGGCCTGGGGGCCCCACTGGCCGGTTTGCCCCCCTCGATAGGGGATGCAGGCCGTTCCCTTCGGGCTTCGAGGGGTGTAACTCCCCAGCTGGGGTGGTACTTTGGAGGGGTCTCGAAGGGGATAGGGATGGGGATGGGGATCGCTTCAACGATCTGCTGAGCGGAGGGAGCTCGCCCACGAGGCCGACGAGCGAGCCCCACGACCCGCGCACGCAGCAGCCGCGCGCCACGGGCGCCCGCCGTCGGCGGCCCCGCCCCGGCGGGGCAGCGGGGCCCGGCGAGGGCGCCCGGGGAGCCCCCCCTGGGCCACCGCGAGCTCGCGCGGCCGACGGCGGGGCCGCGGCCGGCGGGCCGGCGCGCGCTGCTCGAAGCACCGGGCGGCGGTGCCCGCGGTGGCCTCCGTGGCGCCCGCCCGCGCCGGCAGCCCCCGGGAGCTGCGCTGCTGAAGGGGGAGAGGTGCGCCGCGCGCCCTGCGCCGCGAGGCGCGCGTGGCGGCGGCTGGCGCCGCGCTGCGGAAGGCGCCGGGCCTGCTGCTCCAGCCTCGTGGCCGTCACCACGAGCGCGGGCCCCAGCACGTGCCAGCGCTGGGCCTTGGCCAGCACCGAAGGGTGCTCGCGGCCGAGCTCCCGCAAACTCGCGCAGGGGCCCCCGGTTTCGGCTGCGGTCTTCGGTTTGGGAGCCAGCGCTCGTCTTGCACCGTGGCACTGTGGCAGGGTGATCCAAAGGCACAGGGGCACTGTGGCACTGCGATTTCCGATTTCGGAGCGCGCGCCTGCGCCCTACGTGCATCCCAGGCACTGCGGCAGGATGATCCGAAGGCCATCGGGCTTCCAAGCATTTCTGCTCAAGATGGTTCGGAGTGGGCCTTAGAGAGCCCAAATAATCAACATGACCCCGAAGGCGCCCCACGATGGCCAGAATCAAGACAACATCTGGCGACCCCACGAGGGCCCCAAGATGGCCCAAAACGAATTTTTGAGGGGCCCAGGACGGCCCCAAAGAGCCCCAAGAAGACGGAAGGACGGCACCAAGAGACGTCCATGTTCCCACCAGGTTCCCAGAGGTTCCACAACAGACTCAGGGTGGCCCAAGCGGGAAGTCGCCCAGAAGTCAAAAGAAGCCCTGGGAGGAACCAAGGAGCCGTTGGAGAGGCCCAAAGGATACCAGCTGTTCGACCCAAGGGGGCGGCGGTGATTCGCCAGAGGCGGCTTCCACATTCCGCCCCCTGGTGAAATACCGCTGCAAGATCTGATGCCCCACCAGGCGTGGGTCGGGCATGTCCTCCTACAGGCGGATGCCGGAGGAATAATGAACCATTGTTTTCAAAAATGCTCCAAAATAGCCAAACATGGTAGAAACATCGTCCCCAGACTATTGACACCTATTCGTGAACATTCTCCCTGTAGGGGGACATGCCCGACTTAACAACAGGCACCAGGTCCAAGCTCGACCCCTTGCGACGCCCTCGACCCCGGGCCCCTCGCTGGACCGAAGCCGCTGCCCCAGCAGCTGCACGGCAGCAGGGGGCTCGAGACTCCAGGCTTCCCTCCTCCTCTTCCTCCGCCTCCTCCTCCTCCTCCTCCTGCTCCTCTTCCTCCTCCTCCTTCTCCTCCTTCTCCTCCTTCTCCTCCTCGTCCTCCTCCTCCTCCTGCTCCTCCTCCTCCTCCTCCTCCCCTGCCTCCTCGAACTCGTCCTCAAACTCCAGCGACGACGACGCCGGCATTCACGACGACGACGACGACGACGACGACGACGACGACGACGACGCCAGCGTTCGCAAGGACGACGACGACGACGACGACGACGACCACGACGACGGCCCCCTGGGCGGCGCGACCCCACGAGCCGACGCGGCCCCGCGACGACGGCGGCGGCGCGGCGGCGGTGAGGGTGGGCGCACCGGCAGGCCGTCCGGCCCCGTCTTGCCGTGCTCCGCCGAGCCCACCGAAGGCGCGGACAGCGGAGCGGGCTGGCGCGGGCGCGCGCGCGCGCCGCCTCCGCGGCCCGCCCGGCGGAGGCCCTCGCGCCGAGGAGCCTCCGCCTCCAGCTCTCAGCTGCCCCGATGCGCAACACGCAGCACGCATCGTACTGATACCGGGGCTCAACACGTAGGCTGAAAGCGTGGGTCAGACGCGGTACACTCGCCGGGAGGTGGTCCAATACGTGGAGCGAACACGCAACGTGTTGACACGGACGTCTTGACCACGGGACGCATTGCGCTTCAAAACGGGCGCATCGAGGCAACTAAGCTCCCGATCGTTCGCTGCGCCCGCTCGCCTGCTGCACCCCGCCCGCGGGGGCCCTCCGCCGTGCTCGCCGCCGCCTCCGCGGAGAGCCGTCGCGGCAGGGCAGCAGCGAGGCTCGAGAAGAGTGTGAGAGGCCAGCCGGGCAGCACCCGGACGGCGGTGTTCGGCCAGGCTGCACACGGAGAGCCGACCTCGGCCAGGCTGACCTGGGCCAAGCTGCACGCCTCCCGGGCCGAGTTCCGCCTGGCCGAGCTCAGCCGGCTGGGTTCCGCAAAAGGGCCCCGGGAGACACATGAGTGAACATGTTACGTCACAGCACGGCAGAGGCAATCCGCACGGGCGCTCGAGTTGACGAGAGCACGCGACTAAGGCGCGAGAGGAGGAGGAGGAGGAGGAGGAGGAGGAGGAGGAGGAGGAGGAGGAGGAGGAGGAGGAGGAGGAGGAGGAAAGAGGAGGAGGAAGAGAGGGAGGAGGAGGAGGAGGGGGGAGGAGGGGAGGAGGAGAGGAGGAGGAGGAGGAGGAGGAGGAGGAGGAGGAGGAGGAGGAGGAGGAGGAGCCAACAACAACTCGACCTCGAGGCAATGTCATGCGCCTAAAAGCTGATCGTGTATAGGGGAGGGGGGGGAACACGAGCCTGTCGCAGGCGCAAGGCCCCCGCGCCATTCCCGCCCAGGGTAGGCTGTGCAAGCGGGGTGCAGACTCAGCCTGCCGTCAGGGCCTGCATGCAGCAGGGCAAGAGAAACGTCAGATGCGATCAGTCTGAATGAGTAAAGGAGAGTCGACAGAGAGGCAAACTTCTGACTGAGAGCGTTTCAGGATGAGCACGCCGGAGCAGCCAGCAGGGGCTGAAGTGACCTGGCAGTGGACGCGGACGACATCACGGCCACACCCAGGGACCGAAGCCAGGGCTGCAGGCGCTGAAAGCGTGAAGAGCAGTGAACCAAATTCCAGATTCCAACGTTACATGCGTATGTATGACTGTTATTTTTATATATACATATATATATATACATACATATATAGATGTATGCATGTATACAATATTCTGGATCTGCGTCTTCCCCCCGCATCCCCAACGTGCCCCCACAGTCTTTTGGAAATCGACGTTTATTTGCGGCTGGGTCACTTGTTACCCTCCTGATTCCGCCGGGCCGAACTTCGACTGGCCGCGTCCGTCTCTTGTCGCAGCCGGCTGCCCCAGGCTGCGGGGCGCGCGCGCTTCGAGCGGCGCAGGGGCACGCGACGTGGCTCGAGCGCGCCCGCGGAATGTCTGGAACGGGGCGCGCGAAGGCAGGAGCGGCCAGCATCGAATCGGGAGATCGGGCCCGATCAAGACACGCATCAAATCGGGCTGCATCGGTACGGAGACGTAACCGAATGGAATCGGCCGCGCCAGGATGCACAGCAGCGCCACGCAAACGTCGGGCCGCTTCGGCGGAAGATCGGAATCGGATCGGACCGAATCGGCCGGAGCCGATGCCGAACTGGATCGATCGGGCCGAACTGGGCCCTGGAAGATGAGCACGCAGGAAAAAACAAACCACCAGGAGAGTTGCGACGAGACGAGCCCAAGAAAGGACTGGTTGGCATACTGCATCACAGCGTCTACAGGCCAGAAGCATATGCTAGTGCTCTGTCGGGCTGGGCGCTGCCCGCACCCACGAGAGCACTGCGTCACTGGTCTGTAGCGTGTCCCAAAAACCGCGACCTCCGAAATGGCGCGAAATCGTCTGGGACGATTCTCTGGAACTCGTAGGTACTTGAAGTTCCCCGCTTTACAGTCGGAGCTCGACCACAAGAAACCGTCCACAAGACACCCAAACTTGAGAACCCAGGACGCCCACTGATTGTTGGTACGGGGGCGCCGCGCCCTCCATCGCACAAAACAAGAAACCCAAGAAACCCAGGGCACCCCGGAGGCAAGCAGGGTGTTTCTTGGCATGGGTTTGCACTGTACGTCGTCTGTAGCGTGTCCGAAAACCGCGACCCCCGAAATGGCGCACAATCGCCCGAGACGATTCTCTGCAACTCCTTGGTGCTCGAAGTTCCCCCGCTTTTCCGCAGAAGCTCCACCATGGGTCTCCACGGTACTCCGCTGCAGGGTGGTTCCTTGGCATGGGTCTCCGCTGCGCTCGAAGCTCCCCGCTCCACTCGGGTGCGCCGACGAGGGGGGCCCGCAGGAGAGGGAGGGGTGCTCCAGCCGTGCGCACGTGCGCGGACGAGTCTGGGCCAGTGGGCGTGGCAGATACCATGGCCACAGCCATGATAGTACAGTCATCGGCCTGACCTGAGGAACGATAAATGAGGAACGAAGCCCCTTCTCGCCAAGGAATAACGCACAAGGAACGATACATAATAAATGACGCATAGGCAACGATAAATCACTCATGCAAGCCTAAGGAACGACCGAGCCCCTTTTGAAAAGTAAGCGCTCCTTATTCAAGCCGCTCACTGTATCCACACAGCCCTGGTCAGGAACCCCCCTCTGAGGCCGGCCCGTATCATGAGAATGCGCGATAAGGATGCAAGGGCCCTGCGCGCCCATGTCCCAACTTCTCGAGCGGGGCGCTGCCAACGAAGGTGGCCAAGGATGGGCCGAGGAGGCAAGGATGCAGGGGCACCCTTGCGAAAGTCGCTCCTCCTTACTGTGCAGCTTGCCTACATCATGGCCCCAGCCTGAATGATATCCACACGGCCCTGGTCATGGCCCCCCTCTGGGACGCTCCCGATTTGCGGCATCTCCTTGGCACTCGAGGTGCCACGCTCTGAGAAGCCGACGCCGCCTCCTGAAGGGACGACAGAACAACGATCAGGGCGTCCGCGCGCCGCGCGGTGCAGTCGTCGCCGCCGCTCTCGTCGCCCGTCCAAAAAAAAACAATCGAAGAAGGAATGCGCCGTAAACATCGACTTTTGGCGCTCCGCGCGGATTGCTTGGATCTGGCCTGGGCCCCCGTTCCTGGCGCGCGGGGCGCGCCAGGGGCGGCGCCGGAGGCGCCGCCAGGGGGCCCAGGCGCCGATCCACGAGACCCGCGCGGAGTGCCAAAAAGTTGGTGTGTTCTGGCGTGTTTCTCTTCTTCGAGACAGGGCATGGACACAAACCTGAAAAGGACCACGCGAAAATCTTCGATCGGCGTGGGACCCCCTCCCAGGCGGGCATGTCCCCCTTCAGGCTGATTCTGGGCGAAAAATTAAAAATAGTCAAACACAAATCCAACAAGATCATCAATGTAAATATATATATATATATGTATATGAACACACAAAATCGTCCCCATATTATTTGTTTATTTGTTTGGGATATTCCTCCTGTAGAGGGACAGGCACGACTTAAAAAACAAGGCACGACCAAAAACCTGCAAAGGACCACGCGAAAATCTTCGATCGGCGCGGGACCCCCTCCCTGGCGTTAGGTCGGGCATGTCCCCCTAAAGGCAGATGTTGGACGAACCATCAGACGTAGCTGAGCAGATACGCCAAGAATACTCAAAACACTAATCCAAACGTCGCCCCCGTACGATTTTTGGACTAGCTTTGAGCATTCCCCCTGCAGAGGGACGTGCCCGACTCGACACCAGCCTGCAGATTGAGCAGGGACCGACCGTCCCTGCATTCCTGTAGTCCTACCACTGTCCTTAGAACCCAAAAATGTTCGAAGAACAAAACAATGTTCTTAGAACCTAAACCCGATGTGTCAAAACAAGACAGACTCCGCCAGAAGTGTTCCAAGAACACCTCGTGGGAACCACAAACGGTTCTTAGAACATTGCTTGGTAGGGCCATAGGCGAGCCAGGACGCTTCGCCACTGCTCGAAACCTGCAGAGGACCTCGCGAGAATCTCCGATCGCCGCGGGCCCCCCCTCCCGGCTGGCGCGCAGGGGCCCCGCCGAGGGGGGCGGCGCCGCGGCCGGGCGCCGACCCCTCCCTGTGGAGACCCGCGCGCGCGCCTCCGGAAAAAAAACGCCCGTGGTCGTGACGACGGCGCTCTCCTCTCCAGGATCGGGTCGGGCACGTCCCCCCACAGGGGGATTTTCGACGGAGAAAAAAGAACACAAAAAAATATCTAATAACAATCAAAAAATGGTCCCCAGACTATTGGGTTTTTTATGTTTTTGGGATATCTTTATTTTTCGTCGACAATCCCCCTGTAGGGGGACACGCCCGACTTAACTCCAGGATCAGGTCGGGCATGTCCCCTCACAGGGGGATTGTGGATGAAGAAGAATTTTTAAAAAGGTACCCCCAGAATACTCAAGAATAGTCCACGAAGCGTCCCCAGACTATGCTTTGACTACTTCTGAATCTACCTCCTGCAGAGGGACAGGCCTGCTTTTGAAGATACCTCCTGTAGAGGGACAGGCCCGACTTGACTCCAGGACCGCCCTCGCCCTCGAGGAGGACCGCTGCCCCCGAGGATCGCGGACGTCCTCGCCCTCATCCTCGAACGACCGAAGAGAAATGCCGTCCTTAGAGAAAGAAAAAACGGCACAACACACAAGCTTCTGGCGCTCCGCGCAGATTTCTTGGGTCTGCGCTGAAAGCCCCCCTCCCTGGCGAACGGAGCGCGCCAGGGGCGGCGCCGGAGGCGCCGCAGGGGATGGCCCAGCGCGGATCCGAGAAATCCGCGCGGAGCGCCAGATGCTTACGTGTGCACCGCGATGCTTCCTCTTCGACTCCTCGAGCGCCCGCGACCCCGAGGAGGGGCCGTCGCCCTCGGAACAGCCCTCCAACGGTCTGCAGCGCGAGTGGTGCTCACGACCCTGCCCTCATCGTCGTCGCCATCAGAGGCGACGGCGTCGTCCTCGGGGCGGCCCGCGCGGCGCCTGCGCCGCCGGCGAGGCGCCCGCCAGGGCGCCTGCGGGGCGCACTGGGGCGCCGGGGATTCCGGTTGCCTCCGCCCTCCCGTCTGCGCGTCCTCGCCATCCTGGCCTCCAAGACGACCGAAGATGATCCGAGATGGCAGTCAAGACTGCCCGAGCCACCTCGAAGACGGCCGAGATGGCATCCGCTTCGGCCCAAGATGCCCCGAAGACGCCCTCAAGACTCCCCAAGAGGACTCAAAGAGGACATTGACTTCCCATACGTAGGTTCCTCCAAGCTCCCCCTCCTCCTCCTCCTCCTCCTCCTCCCCCGCCCTCCTCCTCCTCCTCCTCCTCCTCCTCCTCCTCCTCCTCCTCCTCCTCCTCCTCCTCCGCCCTCCTCCTCGAGGTGTCCTCCCTCTCCTCCGCTTCGTCGTTCTCCCCCGCTCCTCCGTGCCGCACCCCCCGACGTGTTGGTAGGGCTAGCCGGGCGTGTCGCCGGAGACACTCTTACCCTGGATGGCCCTGAAGCTTGACATTTGCAACAACTTCAAGAATTTAGGGCAGGTGGTTTTCAGGATGTGGCTCTCGCCCGCCGCGCACATGCGTCTTGACTTCGCAGCAGCTTCAAAGATGGAGGGCGGTTCCTTTTTCAAAATGTGACTCTCGCTCTGGCGCTGCGCGCATTCGCCTTCAAAAGTTTGCAACGGGTTCGCGAATCGTCCAGGCTGAAGTCCCGAACGATGCTCTGGAACGATTTAGGACTATCAGAGCGCAACAGTCACGTGGATTCGCGCTGCTGAAGTCCCAGGAACGGTGTTCTGGTACGATTTAGGACACTCAGGGCGCAACAGCCACTATGATTCGCGGCGTCGAAGTCCCAAGCATTGTGTTTGGGCACGATTGAGGGTTCTCGATCGGTTGTCTTTCAACGCGGCATGTCCCGCACTGAAAAATGAATGTATGCAGGAGCATGTGAAGAGGAAAGATGGGGGGCGGGTTTACATTGTTGATGCGTCTTGGGTTTGCACTGGTGCCCCTCCTCCTCCTCTCCCTCCCCATCCTCCGCCTTCCACTCTCCCTTCTCCTCCTCCTCCTCCTCCTCCTCTTCCTCCTCCTCCTCCTCCTTCTCCTTTTCCTCCTCCTCCTACACAATCGAAATCGATCGCAGAGGGCACGTGAGAGGACAAGGGACCTTTTCCCAGTACAATCCTGCCCGAGAAACGCAGAAGACACTGGAGGGGAACGCACAGGGCACACGGGCACCCTGGCACCCTTGATGTAACAGGGCTGACATACTAATCAAGCTGGCCTGCACATGTTTGCAACTCCTCCTCCTCCTCCTCCTCCTCCTCCTCCTCCTCCTCCTCCTCCTCCTCCTCCTCCTCCTCTTCCTCCTCCTCCTCCTCCTCATCATCATCATCATCAGCAGCAGCAGCATCATCAGCAGCAGCATTATCAGCATCATCATCATCCTACTGACCCGCCTCCTCCTCCCTTTCCTCCGCGTGCTCCTCCTCCGTCCCTCGCCCTGCTCTCCCCCCTGATCGAACCCTGCGCCTGCTCCGTCTGCTCCGCCCCTCAGCCCTCCGCCTCCTGTCCTCCTCCTCCGCCCTCCTGTCCTCCTATCCTCCTCCTCGCCCTCCTTCCTCCTCGTCACCCGCCTCCACCTCTGCCCCCCTCGTCCTCCCTCCTCCTCCTCCTCCTCCTCCTCCTCCTCCTCTCCTCCTCCTCCTCCTCCTCCTCCTCCTCCTCCTCCTCCTCCTCCCCCGCCCTCCTCCTCCTCCTCCTCCTCCTCCGACGGTGAGCCAGACAAACGGTGCGGCGTTGACTCGCCGCGGGACGCCCCCAGCAATAGAGCAGCAACAAACTCACATTCCTCCTCATCACCTTTGTCATTCTTTCCCGTTGGTTCCTCCTCCTTTCGGGCGCGGTCTGACCGCCCCCTGGCAAACCATCCCCTTCCGCGACATCATCCTCGCTTTTCGAGCTGCCCTCCAGCCGCATACATACGTCTTGGGGCGAGGCCAAGGGGACGTCACGGAAGGGGATGGTTTTTTGTTTTTGATTGCACTCCTGGCCGACCGTGAATCTTCCTAAAAACACAAGTGCAACGTGCGGACGATCTAATGTCCTCAGAAGAAGCAGTCGGCATCGCATGGGGGACGGCGTGCCCACAACCAGATGATTTACCGGGTGTGATCAGCGCCGCACTCATCTGCACCACCGCCATCCTGAGCGATCGCCCTCAACAGGACCATGGCCACCACGACACACTTCATGAAGAGGCTTGTGCTCGGCGACTTGTCCATGATCACTGTGCGAGTAATTACCGTGATCGAACCGTCAATGATACTACTCGCCAAGCGTAAATGACGAATATTGGACAATGCTGGGAGTGACAACCAATCCCGGGAAACCAACGCAGCTCCAGCCAAAATAGCTTGAGCCAAAATGGATACGGATCACGGAAGGGGATGGTTTGTTAGGAGTCGGTTAGGCCGCCCCTGATTTCCATCATGAAAAGGCAGAGGGCTCCAGGGTAGAACGGGAAGCACCACCAGAACAGACTCACTTTAGGAGGTCCGCACGAATGTCTTGGATCAGCACTGGACCCCCCTCCCGTGGCGCTCGGAACGCCAGGGGCAGTGCGATGGGTGCGCAAACGAATCGATCATACCGTACGCAGGCGCCGGCACGCATCCTGGGGACGCCCCGCTTCCGGGTCGGGGTGGGTGAAAGGGGGCGTGCGAACGGAGGTTACGAAACGAAGGGTCGAACCTACAGTCGAATCCGTGGGTGGAGGATGAGACGAGAGCGAGAGCGTCCTGTTCCCTCTCACGGCCCGATGGTCACGAGCACGCTATCCAATAGGACGGTTAAGTCGGGCCCGTCCCTCTAGAGGAGCATTTCTTGAGTACTTTTTATCTTTCGTCGAGAATCTCCCTGTAGGGGGACACGCCCGACTGAATTGTAAGGCGAAGCCAGGACGAGGATAAAGTCGGGCGAGGCGAAATCGAGAACGAACCTCTGAGACCTGGCGGCTCTGGAGGACGTCTCGGGCGCCGCGGCCTTCCCAGAGCGTTCCAGAAAGCTCTGAGAGCGTTCCGGAACGCTCTGGAACGGATCCATCCTCGTCCCAGCCCCGTCCGACCTTGCCTCCCTCGCGAGGGCGTCGTGGCGGCGCTGGGCGCGCCAGGTTTGAAGGCCAGGCCGGCCTCGTTGCTAAACCTAGCCTGGCGGAGGGGGGGCGGGCGTCAGGACGGCAAGGGGAAGCACGCGAGGCAGGGGAGTGAGGGAAGCTAGGTGCGCGCGCAATACAGTCAGACCTAGGCCAGAAGAACATCCCTCAAGAACACGAGACCCTCCGCCGGCCAACGCACACACACACACACACAGACCATTCAGGGTTACCCTCTCTGGGGGGTGCACAAGAATATCCAACAAACACGAAGAGCATGAGGGTAGCCTGCCCGAACCGACCTCGATCTTCTACCTCGGTCCAACTGTATCTGACATCCCACACATCCCACCCATCCCGTCCCATCGGGCGGATCTCTTCTCTGTCCGCTCACGGGTGTCAAAGCGAACCTGGATCCCCCCACATTGCCACCTCGCGCGGTACGCAATCAGAAAGGAAAGCTGTGGACATTAGAAGAGGAGGCGGCAGACAAGGAGGAGGAAGATGGGTCATATGAGGAAGCAGGAGCAGCAGCAGAAGGAGCAAGAGTTTAAGGAGTAGTAGAAGCAGGAGGACCAGGAGAAGGCGGAGGAGGAGAAGGCGAGGTGGCGACAATGATGAGGAAGGATTCGGATCCACAAATTTTGCCTGCGATGGGGCGAGCGCGACAATCAGAACGACGGAAATGAAGAGCCAATCCTGCAATGGAGCCACCGCTGCACCGGGAGCACCGCTCTGAAAAAAACGACTGTATATTTAGACATACCAAATACAGAGGCATAGAAATCCTCTGTGTGACAAGGATACGGGGGAAAAAGCGTCCTGCTCGTAAAACATATGCGAATAGAGCTGAGTAGTACTCAGATCGATGAAGTGTGGAGAGAAGAGGGAAGGAAGGAGGGGAAGGAGGGAGGGAAGGGAAGGAGGAGGAGGAGGAGGTATAGGAGGAACGGGACGGGATGGAAAGAGAGGGTGCACAATACGAGAGCGACAGAGAAAGAGGAGAGAGAGAGGGAGAGAGAAAGAGAAAGAGATACAGAAAGAGAGAGAGAAAGAGAGAGAGAGGGGACACTAAACAAATAACAATTTAGAAGATGGTGGGAGAGAGAGAGAGAGAGAGAAAGAGAGAGAGAGAGAGAGAGAAACAAAAGAAAGCTAGAGCATAAAAAAACACAGAAAGGGACGGAGCGTGGCGAACAAAGCGGTAGAGGGGCCGAGGTGAGGGGGAAAGAAGGGCGAGGCAGTGGGATGAGAAGAAGGGAATGGGGGGGAGAGAAGGGGGCACGAAGCGAGGGGGCGATAAAGGAGATGGAGGAGAGAAAGAGCACGGGGGCGGCAAGGCGTCCAACCAGAATCCCTTTCAGAACCGGCCCCCGACGCCCCAGCCTCCCCCCCGGGACGCCACCCTGGCCAACCGTTCGAGCTGCGCCCAGCCGTGGCGACGGGAGCCTGCAGAGACGCCTCGAAAACCTGGGGAGCGACGACGACGACGAGGGACGACGACGACGACGACGACGACGACGACGACGACGACCACGACGACGACGGCGACGGCGACGGCAACGTCGACGACGACGACGATGACGACAACGACAACGATAACGACGACGACGACGACGACGACGACGACGACGACGACGAAGATGACGACAACGCTTTGGCCCCTGGCCATGTACATTGCTCGGATGCCTCAGGCTTTCCCGAGAGGCCCGCATGGCATCCAGAGCGCCCCCTCACGAGGCCAAGGGGGTCCGAAAACCGAAACGGCGCGAAAAGCTGGGGGCACCTTTCGGGTGGTGATGTGTGAAGCGTACCGTCCTCGAGAGATTGCAGCGACAAATGCTGAGACCCGAGTGTCCGGACAGGGATTCCATACGCGGCTCACGTGGCAACCTCTCTGGTGCCCTCGTCATGCCACACTGGCGCGGCTCTCGTGGAAGCTGGATGCAGTACTTTGGCTCGTTGTCGCGTGCAAAAACCCGTGCTCACTGTGCAATGCCAGAGATAACCCTGCACCCAGACAGCGGCACTGGGGTCTCGGCGTTCTGCCCCTCCGCGCAAGCCGAGGGAGGTCCGCACAATCGAGTGGCGGGAGTGCACCAGAGCAAGAACCAGCCCACCTGCAATTCGCCAGATATAGTGTCATCCCAGTGTCGTGAGGTGGGACAGACGGAGGATCCTGCGGGTGCGGCTGCGGGTGCGGCTCGCGAGGCCCTTACGAGCACTCCCTCCATCGGGTGCAGGATAGTGCTGACGGTTGCTAGGGTGATTTGCACAGGTGGGACCCCGCCACTCACAATGGCGGCGACTCCAGGGTACGGCTGAAGGACGTACACGTTGGCTGCGCCGGGGGGCGGTCCTTGAGACCTTTCGAGCCCAGCGCGAGGCACCTTTCGGGTCAGGCGCTGGCAAACCAGCTCGCGCGGCTGGCTTTCCTGGCGCCGGAGGCGCCCGTGTATCGAGAGAAACGCACGAGGGCGAGGCCGAAACTGGTGGCACGCAGCAGCTTTCGTGCAGCCATCGCCCTGCCCTAGGGAACGCTGAGCTACAAATGGGGCTCTTCTGGCCATGGCGAGCCTCGGCCACGAACAGGTCCTCCGACGCAGGTGTAGGAGCGGCCCGGACATCAGATCCCTCGCGAGGCAAGCTTTCGAGGAGGAGGAGGAGGAGGAGGAGGAGGAGGAGGAGGAGGAGGAGGAGGAGAAGAAGAAGAAGAAGAAGGGGGGGGGAAGGAGGAGGAGGAGGAGGAGGAGAGGAGGAGGAGGAGAGGAGGAGGAGGAGGAGTGGAGGAGGGGAGGAGGGGAGGGGGAGGGGGAGGAGGAGGAGGAGAGGCGGGGAGGAGGAGGAGGAGGAGGAGGAGGAGGAGGAGGAGGGAGGAGGAGGAGGAGGAGTAGGAGGAGAGGAGGAGGAGAGGAGGAGGAGGAGGGAGGAGGAGGAGGAGGAGGAGGAGGAAGGGGGAGGAGGAGGAGGAGGGGGGAGAGAGAGGAGGAGGAGGAGGAGGAGGAGGAGGAGGAGGAGGAGGAGGAGGAGGAGGAGGAGGAGGAGGAGGAGGAGGAGGGCGGAGGAGGAGGAGGAGGAGGAGGAGGAGGAGGAGGAGGGGAGGAGGAGGAGGAGGAGGAGGGAGGAGGAGGAGGAGGAGGATGGAGGAGGGGGGGGGGAGGAGGAGGAGGAGGAGGAGGAGGGAGGAGGAGGAGGAGGAGGAGGAGGAGGAGGGAGGAGTGAGGAGGAGAGGAGGAGGAGGAGGAGGAGGATGGAGGAGGAGGAGGAGGAGGAGGAGGAGGAGGAGGAGGAGGAAGGGGGAGGGGAGAGGAGGGGAGGGGGAGGAGGGGAGGAGGAGGAGGAGGAGGAGGGGGAGGGGGAGGAGGGGTCGCCTGAGCCCCCGGGTCACCCGACTTCGCGCCTCGCGCCCCGCCCTCGCCTGAGCCCCCGGGTCACCCGACTTCGCGCCTCGCGCCCCGCGATGCGCGACGCGTGGCTCTTTCGGCGCCACCGCGAGGCCACCTTTCGAGCAGGGCGCCCCTCTCCGACATGCACCGCGACGCGCAGAGCGCGGCTGCCTTCGCGCCCCTGGATCTGACCTGGGGGTCCAAGGAGGAAAACCCCCCCCCAAAAAAAACAGAAAGCTTCGGCGCTCCGCGCGGATTTCTCGAATCTGCGCCGGACCCCTCTCCCTGGCGCGTGGAGCGCGCCAACAGCGGCGCCGGAGGCGCCGCCAGGGGGGGGGGGCCCGGCGCGGATCCGAGAAATTCGCGCGGAGAGCCAAAAATTTCTGTTCATGCGGTTTTTCCCGCTTCGAAAAAATGGTCTTCATTCCATCTCGTCCGACCGGGACCTTAAGTCACGATGATCCCCGCGGGCATGCCTCACATCTGAGCGTGCGCGCGCGCGCCCAGACGCCCCGCCGCGCCCCGGGCGGCCTGGCAAGTCTGCGGCTGCTGCCTGCCGCGCGGGCAAAGCGCGGGTGCACGCTCGTCTGACGCTGTCGGCTGTTGTCGTCGTCCGCGCCCTCCTCCTTCCTCGCCCTCCTCTTCCGCGGCCTCATCCCTCCGCGTCTATGTCCCCTCCCTCTGGCCTCTTGTCTCCCTCCCTCCCTCCCTCACATCTGCCTCCTCCTGCTCCTCCTCCTCCTCCTCCTCCTCCTCCTCCTCCTCCTCCTCCTCCTCCTTCCTCCTCCTCCTCCTCCCTCCTCCTCCTCCTCCTCGAAAGCTTGCCTTTCATTATCCTTCTCCTCGTCCTCGTTTCCCTCCTCGTCTTCCCCCTCCGCTCCCGTCCCTCCCCGTAGCCACCTTGGCTCAAGCCATCTTGGCTCGAGCCCCGCGGGCGGCCCCCCTCTGCGGGGCGCGATCGGCCTCGCTGCCTCGGGCGGTGCTGGGGCCTCCGACGTGCGTAGAGGGGGGCACGCTCCTGGCGGTGGCGCGCAGCGGACGAGCGCTCAGTTGATTATCATCTGAGTAGTGACCCCCACCCCCGGCCAGAATCTTTTAATGAATAACCCAGGCCCCCGCGTGGTGTACAACATGCTGCGGGGTAAGTCATGGGCCTGCCTTCGTCGCGGAACTCCGCATGGGCGCGCGTGCAATGGGTTGCTTGCACTGGATGCACTGGGAAGGCTTCGCAAGGGCGCCGCAATAACGTTACTGCGGCGCCCTTGCGAAGCCTTCTCCCTCCCCGCGATCAACCAGCACCGCATCGCACCAGAATCCGCATCGAATGGGGCCGCGCCGGCTCGGAGCCGCCGCATCGGAGATCGGCGACGCCGCGGTGCACAACTGCGCCCCGCAGCCGTCCGGCCGCACGGGACCGCCCAGCAGCCGGGAGCGAGTCGGATCGGGCCGGCAGCGAGCCGACATCGAAGCGCAGCCATCGGACCGCTCGCTGCACCTCCCACGGCGGCGCTCGCAGCGGCGGGCGCTGCACGCCGGGCGGAGGGCGGCCGTCCGAGCAGGCGCGGGGGGCTGGCGCCGCGCGCCCCGCGGCAGCCGCGAAGCGCGGGCGCGGCAGGTGCTGCGGCGGTGCGCGCTTCGGGTGGCGCCAGGGGCGAAAGCCGGAGGCGGAACGTTTCGTCGGCGGCGACGAAGGGCCCGAGGCGCGGTCGGGGCGGCCGAGGGGCGCCGCGGGGCCCAGGCAGGCACAGCGGGAGGGTTGGCGGGCGCGGAGGGGGCCGGGGGGGAGGAGGCCGCGGGCAGCAGAGCGGGCGCGGGCCGCGAGGATCCTGCACGTGCGTGCCCCGGAGCACGGGCTTGCACGGGCAGGAGGCCAGGAGCGGCAGGGCGAGCCTGCGCACCACAGTTCGACGAGCGCGCGTGCCACTGCTCGCAGAGTAGCTACTCGCAGATGGCCGGGATCCCCCGCGGGGGATCTGCATGAAGCTACATCGAAGCAGACAGTTGTTTTTCGGACGTTTGCGAGTAGGCACTTTGCGAGTAGTGGAACGCGCTCGGCGAACGGTGGGGCAAGCCCATGAAATGCCGGGGGTCTTGAACTCCGAGGCGGCTGCGCAGGAGCTGGGGCGACACCCGCGTTCTCGCAGACGACGAGCGCTGAGCAGCTGCAGCACGGCGAGGCGGCCGACGAGTGCGTGGGGACTGGCGTGGTCAGCGAGCACGTGAAGTGCGAGAACGCGTCGCGGCCATTTTGGGGCCGCGGGCTTACGGGTTCCCTGGGCGCGGGTGCGCCACACTGGTGGGCCCTCGGCCCGATGCCATGTGCCAAAGGAGGGGCGTTGGCAACAGAATGGACCTCAGAGATGCCGACACCACGCCGTACGACGAGAAGTGTTTGGAGGACTCCCCCCGCTGGCTGCTCGTGGGGGCTCGGGAGCACAATCTCGCACGTAAGGGTGGAGCGCGGCCAGGCTCTCCTATGCGAGGGCTCCCTTGCGGGAAAAAACTCAGGAGGGCACGCGCGTATGCGTGGCCTGCAGATGAACGAACTGGAGACCCTGGCCCAAATCTTGCTCATGCTTGTGCTGATGGCCCCTCGATGCTAGCGAACGAGATGGAGTCGCTGGCCAAAACCGCGAGCAGCAGCTTCATGAATCTCATGGCAACGATAGTCGTTGTTCTGTGGGTTCGTGCGCCTCTCATGCTGATGTTCCTCGAGCTGGTTGCGCTGGGCCGAGTCGTGCTCAGGGTGCCGACGCTCACGGGACTACAGGTCGGATTGCTGACGGTGGCGGAGCTGCTCGCGGTGCCGCTGCGTGGGACGTCGAAGCTGATCGTGTTGAAATGTACGATCATGATCGAGCTGAACTCTCTGGCCCTAGGAGCCACTGTTCGCGATACTAGTAAACGAGCTGAAGACCTTGGCCGGAACCGTGAGCAAGAGTCTCACAGAGGTCACGGCGCCGATGGTCGTAGTCCTGGGGCTACTACTGGAGCTGCTCGTGCTGATGGCGATCGAGCTGGTGGCTCTGGCCCGAATCGTGCTCAGTCGAAGCGCAAGCACTGGACCGACGCGGACAAGGTGGACCAGCTTTCCGGCCAGCCCCGCGGTGCCGCGGAGGCAGAGTGAAGCGTTGCCAGGCCCTCGCGCGTGTGCCTCACCCAAAATGTGACCAGGGAAAGCCAGTAGCAAGCTTACCATCCTGCCCCAGCCAGGGTATGGGCTTGATGCCAGGACTGTCCTGACTGTCCTTTGCCTGCCGTTCTTGCGAAGCTGTTTTTTGGTTCAAGCCTCTGTTGCGACTGCCTTGCACGGAGTCGCCAGCAGCAGACGTTGTTAAAACGATCACCCCAGCCGTGTCGCAATTGATACATGTGAGTGCTTACATAGCATTGATAATTTGTCGTCCTCTCTGTCATTGACTGGATTCGCGCTACTTCCATTGTGTGAGTATCGATGTGGTGTGCGCCGTTGCCACCATGAGCGACGCCTGCGTAGTGCACGTGCGCGGCGCACTGCGGGGCTCCTATTCGCCTCCTCCTCCTCCTCCTCCTCTTCGCCTCCTCCTCCTCCTCTTCTCCTCCACCTCCTCCTCCTCCTCCTCCTCCTCCTCCTCCTCCTCCTCCTCCTCCTCCCCCTCCTCCTCCTCCTCCTCCTCCTGTGGTCCACCCCCATCTTCCAGCGCCTGCCATCGCGCCGGCTCGATCCGCGAGGGCCCCCCTGGGCCCGAGAGGCGGGGCGACGACGCCCATCACTTGCTCCTGCCACGGGCTCCCCCGGGAACCAGGGGAGGGGCTCTGCAGCCGTGGGTGCGACGAGGCTCCACAGGTGTCGACCTACCCAGACCCCCTCGGGTAGTGACAAAATCATGACGGGGGGATTTTCCTAGTTTTCGGCCTTTGGAGGCCCGAACCGGCCCTCGGGACCGTCAAAAATGACTCGGGACGAGAAACCGGTCCCGGGGAATGGGTCGAGGTCTCTGGGGGTCGACGTCATGAAAAAATCCGCCGACACTGTCGGCGTGTGTGAGTGGCTTTTCCGTTCGAGCCGTCATCTCCGTCATTCTTTGTAATCGTCGTCTCTGTCGTTCCCTTTCCCTGGTACCCCTCTTCCCCTGGGCTCCAGCCCGCTCCCCTCGCCCTTTCCCAGGGCCTCCTCCTCAAGCGCGCTAGCCAAACCGACCTTCAGCAACGTCGTAATTGAGTCGAAGGGAAGCCCCTTCCCTTTCCCTTCCCCGACGGGGGGGGGAGGGGGGGTCCCGGGGGGGGTCCCGGGGGAGTCCCGGGTCAGATACGACGGCCCCCCCGTACCGACCTTGAGCAACGTCGTAATTGAGTCGAAGGGAAGCCCCTTCCCTTTCCCTTCCCCGACGGGGGGGGGAGGGGGGGTCCCGGGGGGGGTCCCGGGGGAGTCCCGGGTCAGATACGACGCCCCCCCCCCGTACCGACCTTGAGCAACGTCGTAATTGAGTCGAAGGGAAGCCCCTTCCCTTTCCCTTCCCCGACGGGGGGGGGAGGGGGGGTCCCGGGGGGGGTCCCGGGGGAGTCCCGGGTCAGATACGACGCCCCCCCCCCGTACCGACCTTGAGCAACGTCGTAATTGAGTCGAAGGGAAGCCCCTTCCCTTTCCCTTCCCCGACGGGGGGGGAGGGGGGGTCCCGGGGGGGGTCCCGGGGGAGTCCCGGGGAAGTCCCGGGTCAGATACGACACCTCCCTCCCCCACCTTCTCGTCCTTCTCCCCGTTCCCCAAAACCATCCCACAGCCCGTGCCTCTTGCTGCGCATTGCGAACAGGGTCGGCGGCACCGGCCGTAAGGCCTTCGCAATCATGACGTCGGGGGTCGACCTACGCAGTGCGTTTTCGTTGTCTTCAACCCGCCTCTGCGTTTTCGTTGTCTTCGACCCGCCTCCGCCAAAACACAACACGGAAACGGCCCAGGAACTCGCCGAAGCACCGTTCAGGTCGAGCCCTGCGAGGATCTCCCCGCGCCCAGTGCGCACGGTCCCTCTGGCCAGGAGCAAGCCGACGGCCCAGGGGGCAGCCCGAGCGACAGGTGCCGGCGGGCCACGGCAGGGGGGACCTCGCAGGGAGAGAGGGAACGCGCAGCACCACCGAGCGTGCACGGGCCCGTGCCGAGCCAAGACCTCGGTGTGCACTGGCTCCAGGCGAAGCCACGGTGCTTCATGCAAGCGAGTTTGAGTAGCAGGTCGGCCGTGCCAAATCAAACACGTCCGCGTGCCCTGTGCATCGCGCATGCCCTCTGCCTTCCTGCAGGGGTGCTGTTGAGTCCCCTGTCTCGGGGAGGGCCATGGTGCCATCAGAAGGGTCTTGTGACCCCTCGCGTGTCCTCCCCTATCGAACTCGACTGAGCACCATGATCTGGCCAAAAAACGCTCAGCTGTGCAAGCATGGTGGCCGAGCGCTTCCGAATTCCCGAGTTCGCGCCTCATGCCCTCGTTGAGACGGAAGATGGATACAAGCAACACCGGGTGCTGTGCGAAGAACCAGGGATCTCTGAGGGCGGGCAGGTCCCGAAGTTGGAATCATGGGACACCTCGGACGCTCTCCAGCGCCCGGGAACGCCAGCTGGCCCAAGACTGGCAGCAGCTTTTCACCCGCGGCACAGGAATGTTCGTCAGTCCATTCGGTCACGGCGAAAACATCCGAACATTGAGAGTTACGTCCCGCCGTTTGGGCCAGGAGTCCCTCATTGAGCCACATTGACCTACACCGCTGCGCAACGATGGGTACTGCACCAGAGTACAAGCGGCTGTGCAGCTCTGCAGCGCCATACGAACAATAGGAAGCCGCAGGCGTCAACCGATTCGGTTGCCAGATGTGCGAGATGACTCGCAACGAGGCCTCCTAGATGTGAGGTGCGAGCTGCTGCGCGGTGTGCACAAAGACACAGCGGGTGATCGAGGCCGCCTGTTCATGGTACTACCCTGAAGGACTCCCTCCGCGGCGACGCGAAGGAGTCACGCGGCGACCCCGCCGCCCGAGCGAGAGCGGCCCACCAGCAGCCAGAGCGGGCACTCAGGCCGAGGCCCGGCAAGCCCTCCGGGGCCAGCCTTGGGCCGCCCGCCCTCGCCGAAGGAGGGCGGGCAGGCGCGCGGGCCGCGGCGCGGCGCCGACCCTGCGACGAACGCGCGCTCGCACCGCCGCCCGAGCCCCGAAGACTGCCGATGCATGCGCGGAGTACTACCCCAAAGAATTCGAGCCGCGACGAGCTGCAGCAGCCGCTCGGCGACACCGCCGGAAGCGCGAGCGGCCCGCCGACGGGCGCGCTGGGGGTCAGACCCTGGCGCTGCACGCCCCGCAGAGAACGGGCACCTCGTCGCCGCGGCACTCGAGCTGGAAGACGGAGTACAGGACACAGTTGCGGCACCCGTCGCTGTGCCTTGCACACGACTTCTGGCAAATCGTCGACTCCACCTTCTCCTGGCACCCCGTGCAGTAGATGCCTGCCGAACGCTGGCGCAAGTACTTATCACCAGGACGCAATTCCACGAACGTGCCGCACTTGCCGTCGCAAAGATGCTGCACTGGATCCTCGCGCGGGGTGTACGTCGCTTTGGCGGCCAGGGTTGAGAACGTCAAGGTGGTGGCCTTGCCCGGCTGGCCTCCGACCATCCAGGCGACGTTCACCTTGTAGGCGGTGTTGGCGCACAAACCCTCGACATCTGCCTTGCCACCACGGCAAGTCTGCTGAAAGTGTAGCGTTTCCTGCGGGCCCCAAACTTGAACACGACATCCTGTACATGCATCCTGGGACTGGAGGGCTGCCTCGCGCCAGCAAATCCTGGCAGAAGAGTCGGTCACAACCTCCGCGACCACCGCCTCTGGAGCAGCAGCTGGGCTCTTCGAAGTCTGTTCATGCGTGCAGCGCTGGCCAGCGGGTAATTCATGTCCTCCAAAAACTTTTGCCGCCCATAAAAAAGTGCACTGACTCTCAAGCCACTTGCGGGACAGAAGCTTGCGGAACAGAAGCAACAGAAGCGAAGAAGCTTCTGTAACGGTGCATGTCCACCAACCAGTGCAGGTGCATGTCCACCAACCAGTGCAGGTGCATGTAACAGGCGAAGTCTGCAACGGTGCATGTCCACCGACCAGTTGCACAGGATTTGCCTTGACATTCAAGTGTTTGCACGTTTCGCCGCACTTGTGCGCCATGAGAAAACGGTCCATGCCGTCGGTGCCGACATTGCCCCGGCCAAAACAGCGCGCGTCAGAATGTATCTGCGGGTCAGTGAGGGTTGCCTGCACCCCTTGGATGTCCGTTACCATCATGCGCCCGTGCGAGAAGGGCCACGTAAAATGGCTGAAAGCTTGCGCAAGCTCCGAGTCGGGCCTCAGGAAAGCTCCATTGGTCGTGTACTTCTCATAACTTCCAGGGATGTACGGCTCCAGGGCCCAGTCCGCCACCAT